TGTTCTTGTCTGTAGATTCCGAACTAGCCATTATGTTCAACAATGAATATGTTCTTGTCTGTAGGTTCTGAACTAGCCATTATGTACAACGATGAATCTGTTCTTGTCTGTAGATTCCGAACTAGCCATTATGTTCAACAATGAATAACCTACAGACAAGAACAGATTCATTGTTGAACATAATGGCTAGTTCGGAATCTACAGACAAGAACATTTTGAACTAGCCATTATGTACAACAATGAATATGTTCTTGTCTGTAGATTCCGAACTAGCCATTATGTTCAACAATGAATCTGTTCTTGTCTGTAGGTTCTGAACTAGCCATTATGTACAATGATGAATATGTTCTTGTCTGTAGACTCCGAACTAGCCATTATGTACAACAATGAATATGTTCTTGTGTGTAGGTTCCGAACTAGCCATTATGTACAACGATGAATCTGTTCTTGAAAATCATTCTTTGGCTGTTGCTTTTAAGATTCTACAGGATGAAAACTGTAACATGTTTGTGAACTTAACGAAGAAGCAGCATCAAACAGTTCGCAAGATTGTTATTGATATGGTAAGAATCTGTACTATATAGTTGGTCGTCTGTTTTTTTTTTTGTTTGTTTGTTTACAAATTACCTGTGATCTAAAGTCAATTAAGAATAAGGTGACAAACCCAGAAAAAACGTGTTCGCATGAGTAACACAAAACTGATTTGGTTACCTTTGTCGATGATGTATTTTGAGAGCTCATTTGTGTACTTTTAAAACAAGATGCATTTCTCACACAATCAATTTTGTGTATTAAGAAACTGAATCACTAATTAATTAATACGTTGAACGTTTACACATTTCAAAGTAAATTAATTAACACAAGAATACTGGTCTGTATGTCTTTCTTCACTCTGTTCATAACTCAGTTTGTGATTGTTTAATATTGAGATTAACATATACACAGAACAAGTAGGTAGAATGTATTATGGATTTACACGAACTGAAGTAATCCTCTATGTGGAGTATGGTGTAGCTATATAATGTAAATCACTGATTTAGTATCATGTGTGGTTACACAATATAAAGGTTCACGTGTGCATATAAACTATAAAAGTTTATGTGTGCTTACACACTATATTGTTTCATGTGTGTATATCAACTATTAAGTCTCGTGTCTGGTTACAAACTATATTGTTCCATGTGTGTATATAAAATATAAAGTTTTATTCGTAGTTACACACTATATAAAGGCTCATACAATTGTAAGTTGTAAGGTGTGGTGGTTATCTTTGTTATTTCTAAACAAACGTGAGTCACTGTCTACACTGTAGGTCATAGCAACAGACATGTCGAAACACATGAGTTTATTAGCTGACTTAAAGACCATGGTAGAAACAAAGAAAGTGGCGGGGTCAGGAGTACTTTTGTTGGATAACTATACAGAGAGAATACAAGTGAGTATCAATTAACAAATTTACGTTTTGTTATATTGAATGAAAGCAATAAACGTCACTGAGTAAAGTTTATTGTTAGTCACCTTGTCTAAAATATAAATTTCACTCATGTTTTTTGTGTTAGCCACCTTTTCCAAAATACTGGTTTGAACCGGATGAAGTAATAATCTAATGCTTGGAGACGGCTTGAATGGGTAATGAAGAAAAACTTTAATATAAGTTTAACATAACGTTTTGATAAGTACCTGATGATGACAAAACCTTGTCGAAACGTTGTACATTTGCTGTTATGTTAAACTTATATTAAAGTTTGTCTTCATCACCCATTCAAGCCGTCTCCAACCAATATTAGTCTCAAAGTTGGTTCCTCGTCATCGAATATGAAGTAATAATGTGTTGTAAATAGAATACTTATCAATGTGCTGATTTCTTTAGAGATACATTTAACGTGTTCTTTTCTATAGAGATATTTATTAATTTGTTTATTTCTATAGGGATAATTGTAAAGGGCTAATTTCTGTAGGGATCCTTCTCTCTATATGCGTTCATTGTTAGGGATAATTTTAATTATTTCATTTTTATAGGAAAACTATTTAATGTGCTCATTTTTATAGGAATACTTCTTAATGTGCTCATTTCGTTAGCAAGTAGTTTGAATGTATTCTAGTTCACGGTTGATTTATTTCTTCTGTCTGGTAGATTTTACTCTTTAAGTTTCCATACTAGGCCTATTTGCTATCTATTTTGAAACATTTTTTAGACTTTGGATGTCATATTTAACTGAACTCGGGAAATCCAACACCAAACTTTCAAAATGTGGAAAGTTTTCTTTAATAATGAAAATCAGTATGAGGAGTATTTGTTTTGTGCTCAGTTGTAAACTTGTGTTTATTTATTTTTATCCAATTGATTGCAATGATTGAAATTTAACAATTTTTAATAATCTTTCGTAATAGCTTGATTTTAACATTTCAGTCACTTATTTTTGAAAGATTTCAGGATTTAACAAGTGTGGTGTTAAACTTTACTCCTGTGAACTTTTATAATTCTTCTGATAAATCTGTCAATTCAATAAAAATGTTAAGTAAAGACTTTTCTTCGGGCAATCCACTTTAACGTATTGTCCAGTGAATTGTCGCTAAACAGAAAACTGGATTGCTTAATAAAGCAACCCAGTTTTCTATTTAGCGACAATTGCTTATTAACAGGAAAGCTGGTTGTTTAGCAGTTAGGGTTTGTGGTTGCTTAATAAGCTGAAAATCTGGTTACTTGACAAACAAATTGACTATGATGTATTCAGTCATCTTCAGGCTGACTTCCAAAACCTTTGTGACCAGGATGTATTCAGCCATCTTCAGGCTGCCTTCCAGAACCTTTGTGACCAGGATGTATTCAGCCATCTTCAGGCTGACTTCCAGAACCTTTGTGGCCAGGGTATATTCAGCCATCTTCAGGCTGACTTCCAGAACCTTTGTGACCTGGATATATTCGCGCATCTTCAGGCTGACTTCCAGAACCTTTGTGACCAGGATATATTCAGTCATCTTCAGGCTGACTTCCAGAACCTTTGTGACCAGGATATATTCAGTCATCTTCAGGCTGACATCCAGAACCTTTGTGACCAGGATATATTCAGCCATCTTCAGGCTGACTTCCAGAACCTTTGTGGCCATGGTATATTCAGCCATCTTCAGGCTGACTTCCAGAACCTTTGTGACCAGGATATATTCAGCCATTTTCAGGCTGACATCCAGAACCTTTGTGACCAGGATATATTCAGCCATCTTTAGGCTGACTTCCAGAACCTTTGTGACCAGGATACATTCAGCCATCTTCAGGTTGACTTCCAGAACCTTTGTTCCAAATCATTTTATAGGAAAGGGTTCAGTGTAACCATCTAGTGTCTATTTCTATAAATTTTGACAATGCTTAATTTACAGAAAGAAAAAGATACGGTGGGTCGGTGGGGCTACTACTTTGAATGAGGATGAAATCGAGTAATTAGTATACTACGTCAATTAAATATCAATTCACAAAATTGATTTTAGTGTTTCCGCATTTAGAGTTAAAAAATACAAAACATGTTCTGAATCTCAGATCTGTAGAGATTCGATAGAAAATAACCCCTAACTTTTGGACTGGGAAAATGTTATTGATCAGAACTAAGACCTGACTACGGCTGTTGATCTGAATAAAGCTCTAGAACTGACTACAGCTATTGATCTGAATACAGCTGTTGATCTGAATACAGCTATTGATCTGAATACAGCTGTTGATCTGAATAAGCGTTAGATCTGACTACGGCTGTTGATCTGAATACAGCTGTTGATCTGACTACGGTTGTTGATCTGACTATTGTTGATTTGAGTACAGCTGTTGATCTGATTACCGTTTTTGATCTGACTATGGTTGTTGAGCTCACTACGGTTGTGTATATATATGTATATGAAGGTGGGTAAATAGTAAGCTAATTAGGCCTAATACTAGAATATTATTGTGACAGGTTTGGGCTATGCCCTCTATGAACTTGGAAGTGTCATTTTTAAGTTGTAAAGGTTCCTACAAGAAAATACTGAAAGTTAATAATCTTCTTTAGCTAATGCACGTGGTCAAGATTGACAGTGGCAAATTTATTCATGTTACTCATTCATACATCTTATGAAATTTGGGACTTATATGTTTGTGTCTTATTGTTTTCTAAGTTTACCTAGAAAGGAACATTTTATAGAAAAAAGACGTAGTTATAAATCAGGATGTACAATAGCTTAAAAACTTGAGGCGAATGGTCTCATAATAATAACATGCTTCGGGTTTTCTCGTCTTTTATAAAAATTTTCGGGTCTTATTCGACTTTAATACCAAGATTCGGGTTTTCTTCGTCTTTTATAACATGTTTCTGGTTTTATTCGACTTTCATACATTTTATTCGTCCTTTATAGAATTTTTTTCGTCTTCTTCGACTTGCAGCAAGTTTCGAGTTTTCTTTGTCTTTAAAAGTACGTTTCGGGATTTCATTGACACTTACAGCATGTTTCGACGTTTCTTCGTCTTTTAGGACTTATTTCAGATTTTATTCCATTACATGTTTGTTTTGTTTCATCCAGGTTCTTCAGAACATGATTCACTGCGCTGACTTGAGTGCCCCAGCTAAGCCACTAGAAATGTACAGAAAATGGGTTGACCTTTTAATGGAGGAATTCTTCCAGCAAGGAGACAAGGAGAAAGAACAAGAACTGGACATCAGCCCGATGTGTGACAGACACAATGCCACTGTGGAGAAGTCACAGGTAGGTAATGGCTTAGTTGAGTCATTAAATGTCATTAAAGTGTGTTTTATAACTTCTTAAGTCTTTTTTAATACAGTCGTTAAAGATCATTAAAACGTGTTTTACAACATTCTATGTTTTAGTTCAGTTGTTAAATGTCATTAAAACATGTTTTACAACGACCTAAATATTTCTTAGTACAGTCATTAAACCTGATTCAAACATGTTTTACAACATCCTAAATCTTTCTTAGTACAGTCGTTAAAAGTTATTAAAACGTGTTATACAACATTCTATGTTTTAGTTCAGTCGTTAAATGTCATTAAAACATGTTTTACAACATCCTAAATATTTCTTAGTACAGTCGTTAAAAGTTATTAAAACGTGTTATACAACATTCCGTGTTTTAGTTCAGTCGTTAAATGTCATTCAAACATGTGTTACAACATTCTAAATCTTTCTTAGTACATTCGTTAAAGGTTATTAAAATGTGTTATACAACATTCTATGTTTCAGTTCAGTCGTTAAATGTCATTAAAACATGTTTTACAACGACCTAAATATTTCTTAGTACAGTCCTTAAACCTGATTCAAACATGTTTTACAACATCCTAAATCTTTCTTAGTACAGTGGTTAAACGCTATTAAAACGTGTTTTACAATATCTGAAGTATTTTTAGTGTAATCGTTAAAAATGACTGAAGCGCGTTTTAGAACATATTTAAATCTTTCTTAGAAAACATAACATTCCCACAAACACATGTAAAAGGACCTAGCGCCTCAAGAAAACATGTAGATAACCTAACACCCCACTAATACATCTAGACAACCTAACACTCCATCAAATCATGTAGACAACCTAATATCCCACCAAGAAATGTAGACAACCTAACAACCCACCAAGACATTTTGACAATCTAACACCCCACCAAGACATTTAGACAACCTAACGCCCCAACAAAACATTAAGACAACCTAAAAATCGACCAAGAAATTTTGACAATCTAACACTCCATCAAGACATTTAGACAACCTAACGCCCCAACAAAACATGAAGACAACCTAACAACCCCCCAAGGGCGCTACGGAAAAGAGAGAACGTTGAAAAGTTAAGCTTTTAGACATTTCTGAAAATTAATTAATATTAATATTATAATTTGTAGTAATTTGGGTTAAATAACACAAGAACAACTAGATATAGTAAGACTGGTAAATAAAAGTAAGACGGTCAAAGTTTTAACTAAGACTTAACTAAGAGGAATGGAAGTTAGCTAATTGACTCCTCTTTTTAAGGGAGATGATAAAAATTGTCCCAGTAATTATAGACCCATCTGTCTTGCATCAGTTGTGGGAAAAGTTTTGGAAAGTGTGATAAAGGATGCTTTGCAAAG